CGGCCCAGCGCCGCTCCCGGGCGAACCTCGCTGAGCTCTCCCGGCGTGCTTTCCTGTAAATAAATACGTGTTTGAATCGCGGCGAGCGAGCTCCTGCACGTGTGTGTGTGTTTAAATACGAGTGTAACGTGTACGGAGCATGTGTACACGTAAGCTCTTCCGTTAAGGCGACTTTTAAGTAGCTCCTTTTAAACGTCTCCAAGGCGTTTCCTTGGGGAAAGGCTTATTACTGTCAAATATGTAGCTGATGTGTCCAGGGAAAAACCCTGGAGTGGGAAGAGTTGCTCTCTCCCGGCTGGTTATTTATGAGCACTCCTGAGCATTTCGGTTTGGGACAGAAAAGCTTATTAACTCTGAGCTATGGAATATATTGTTTCGAAGTGACGCTCGAACAGCAGGTTTTAATGGCAGCCGCGTTTGCCGGAGGAAGGAATGCATCCTGCTGTTTGTGTCCTGCTGCTACCAGCAGAGGACAGCTGTGATCTGCGCTTCTTCCCTGCGCCTCAGCCGCCTGATTTACCTGAACTATAATTGAGGCAGCTCAAGGTGGCATGACCTGGTAGATGACGATGGTTATTATTATCATAATCATCATTATTATATTGGACTGTTATTATGAGGATGAGCCTGCTCGAGCAGGGCGTTTGGACCAGATGACTCACTGTGGTGCCTTCCAGCCTGACCCATTTCTGTGATCGCCTCCCGTGCTGTGCCCATCCCCAGTGCCGGGCAGGCGATGCTCCAGAAATGGGATTTCTTTCCAGGCTTTTCCCAGAATGGGAGGCTGGCATAGCCTGTCATGGTGGGATCACATCAGCCCAGTGTACTGTGTCAGATTATTTGCTAAATCAGGAAAGGAGTCTGGTGGTGACACCTGGCTAGCTGTACAAGAGTGGCCAGGACACTGTGACATTTACACTCTGTACTGAAATATGCATCTTTCAAATGTATTTTTTTTCCCCTATTACATTTAACTGTGGCTTCAGATTTTTTCCACTACTGAAATGAACGGGAGCGTCATTTTTCAAATTAACTACACAGTCTTTCTTGACTTGGGATGCAGAATTCCTTGGTTTGCTGCACTAGTGAGTGTTCGGGGAGATGTGAGTTTAGCAGTCTCTACTAATTCAAATTCTATTAATGTTACAGCTGTAGAAATAAAAATGATGTTTCAACCCAGCTAAGATAAAAAAAAAAATCAGAGAACTACTGCATATAGAGCATAGAAGTACTAATGAATTTACACTAAAGTACTCTGTTAATACACTCCTATATATTACATACTTAACCAACACATGGATTTCAGTAATTTTTTTTAACATAGGAAGCAAATATTGACACTTGCTCAGGTGCCTTGTCTCCCTTTCTAAAAAAAATTGCTTAGTACCCCTAAGTTGTAATTTGGAAAGAATTGTTGATATGCAGGTGCCTGAATATGTTTAAGTTAAAAATACAACTGACACTGGCTTGAACAAATGTCTGTAGTGAGTTTTAAAACTACTAAAACCCTGTGCAAAAAATTTTTTAAAACTACTAAAATCCTGTGCAAAAAAATCTATTTGAGACATGACCATGACAAATTCCCTTTTTCAGGATCAAGGCCCATTCCTCGCTTTAAATATAAACCATCACCACCAAATGGCTGTGGATCCCCTGTGTTTGGAGTTCAGGTAAGTATTTCCATTTTGGGGCTCCTTTCTATATCTTTCATACATCAGCTTTCCTCAATAAAGATGATTTTTTCCATTCCCCCTTCTGAGACAGCATCCATGTACAAGGTCCTTGTTCTTATCAGCTCCTAACACATGCTCTGGTAACAACATAGGGGAAGTGTTAGTATTGTAAACGAACCTAGCATAAACATTTTCAAAGATTACAAGCATAAAATGTAATGATGATAAACTTCTTGGGTTTTGAGTGTTTGGTTTAGTGTTTTGTTTGCAGAGTCTTGAAAGCATTGCGTAACTGCAGCTGTAGCCGTGTGAGAGTGGAGAGTTTGGCTATGACTGTTCTGACTCACACTAACCCTTTCTCCATAATGCTAGAAAGAAAATAGGAGTCAACTTGTTGTCCTCCAGCTTTGGGACTTTCTTTTTCCCCCCAACTCTGCCCATCCACCACCCCAGTGTAGGCTGGGGCAGGGCAGGAGGCTGGGTGGGGACACAGCTGGGCAGCAGACCACACTGAACAGAGGGATGGATGTTCCACACTGTGTAGAGCTGCCCAGCAATAAAATCTGGAGCACTGGGAGAAGGTGGGGAAGGGAAGGGGTCATTGCAGAGATGTGTGTGACTTCCAAGTGGCTGTTGCTCAGAGGCTGGCTTGGTATCCCCTCTGCTTTGAAATGTGCTGAATGCTTTTTGCACTGCTTATTTTGGGATATTTTTTTAATTCATCTACTGTGTACAGTAGTACACCAGTACACATTATATTAAATGCTGAGGCTGCAAATAAAAAAAACCCCAAAACCAGTGGAATATGTGTCTTTATGCTCCGTCTGTTCTGAAAGTCTCTTTGTTCTCTTTCCATTTCTGGTTCTTCTTTGCATTTGACTTTGGCACTGAAGGCAAATGTTACTGTTTTCTGAGGAATTCCACACAACATCAATCAGAATTTTCATTAAAAAAATTAAAACAATTTTCACATGGTTCCAGTTCAGTTCATCTGTGAAGCATCTATCATTTAGATACAATTTTTTTTAAATTTTTAATTTAAAACTGTTTAATTAAACAGCTAATTTAAACGAATTTTATTCTAAAAACTAAATTTAAACTAATTTAAAACTAGATTTAATTTTTAAATTGTGTACTATGTACTACTTCTTTGATTCGTCTACTAAACTGTCTTTATCTCAGCTCATCCCAATAATTTTAATTTTTAACTGTTCCAGTCTGTCCATAGGCTGTATTTTTCTTATGCTGGAATACCAATGGAGGTGTGTGTGTGTTTTCCTCACAGTTTGACATCGGTATCCCTTCAATGACAAGGTGCTGCAATCACCACGACAGATGCTATGATACTTGTGGCAATAAAAAAAATGATTGTGATGAGCAGTTTCAGACCTGCCTCTCAAAAATCTGCAGAGATGTGCAGAAAACGCTTGGAATCTCAGAGAGTGTCCAGGGTAAGTGTGAAAATGCCTTTTTTTTTTTTTTTTTAAGTTTGATCTGAGCTTAACTTGGCAAAGAATCTTTGTGCAGTGCAGCAAGACCACATTTTCATAAGGTGATGGAAGATGCTTTGTTCTGTCCTGTTGTGCAGCCCAGATGCTTGTACAACAGAGCAGTGACACAGCACAGGGAAATGATCAGGGTAAAAACTAACTTAGAATTAAGGTTAGTTTTAACTTTAGGGGAAAAATAATGCTGCCCATTTGGGAGTATGAGTATTGAAATAGAACTTGATCAAAGTGCATGTATAATTCTTGCATTTACTGTAACAGCTGTAGGATGACTGTTCTGCTGGGTGACTTCTAAACTTCCATGTGTGATTGCTAGTAAACTGTAGGAAAATACAGAATCTTTCCCTGTATGAAATAAGGTGTTCAAATAATAAACAGTCATAGTGGAAGTAGTTAATGCTGTCCCCTGGTGAATAAATGATAGGTTTCTCAGTAACAGGCCACATTATACTTCTTCTGGTTGTTGGCCTGCATCTGATGGGTACATGACATAACCACTTTTTAACGTGGACAGTGTCACTTTCACAGTAAATACTCCACTGAGAGCAGTAAGTTTTTAGAACAATCTTTTGTTTGAACTTCTCAAATTTATCTAACTGTAAATAAATCATCATGTTAGTCTTCAGTGTCAAAACTGGTCAATATTTGTTCAGTTCTGTTGAGCTGATGTTAAAGACAGCAATCTCTGCATAAACTGGGATGTTGAGAGTGAGAAGGTAAACCAGCTCTTTCATCTTCCAAGATTCAGTGTGTTTCCAACACAGAAAACATACCATATGCAATGAATTTTCATTTTGTTTGGCATATAAAAAATCTTTACTCAAAACTTAAATCACTCTGTGTTGGTTCAGTCTTTCATTTGACAATCTGTTTGCTTTGCCCAGAGAAAATTGCTTCTTTCTTAGAGTCATTCTCAGTTTGACAGTTTTAGCCTGTTAGTTTTATATTCCACCCAAGGAGCACTTTTAACTGAACTCTTCTTTGCTTGCAGCTTGTGAATCAACTGTTCAGCTGCTGTTTGATGCAGTTATACATTTAGGATGCAAACCATACCTGGACAGCCAGAGAGCTGCTTGTGAGTGTCCTTACGAGGGCAAGTCAGATCTCTGAGAGAAGACACCGAGATCACGTGGTGTAACAAAGCTGAAGATCCGGCCAAAAGGAAGCAAGGCTTTGGTTACAAACTTCCTGCTTTTCAGACAGCGACACATTAAACACTGACATGAATTTACTGATTTGAAGATCACTACGATATTCTCATTCATGTAAAAAAGAAACAAGTCGTCCTTCTCTCCATTTTATGCCAGAAGCTTGGGAACTGAAATTGCTTTCCTTTGGTGTATGTTCACCTAGGGTGTGCCATTGTAAAATGCTGGTGCCATTTTAATGTTCCCAAGAAAGCTCCATAGTGGGGACATCACAGGCACCAAAGAGTTATATTGAATTCTCAGGTGATTTTTAATACAGGTCAAATTTTAGGTTTGCTAGCAGTTGAAGGATCTGATGGGTTCAGCAGGAGAGTGTGTTGTGTGTACCAATATGAGACATCTTAGATAGCGTGTACCTGCGTGTTTCTGCTGCAACTGCCTTGAGTTCTCTCCCATGTATGTGGTCCTGCAGGTTTGTTGTTAAAAACCCAGGAAAACGCCCCAAGCCAATGTACATGCACTACATATTTCTACCTGATTCTATATCAATGCCTTACTTCTGCAGCACTTTTCAGATCAAATACGTTGATCCTTTCAAGGGCTGTCCAGTAAAATGAACAGTTTGCAGCCTAAGGATATAGTTTTGATTTGACAGAATGGTGAAATGTAGTTTCTATGTTATTTTTAAAAAATTAATCAAATGTCTGTTTTTGAATAAAACATTTTGTGTTGTGTATTATATGCACGGAAAGGATATATGTACAAATATGTTGATTTATATTTCTGTTGTGGCACAACTTGGCTACTGTATTCATCTTTGCTTTCATTTAGTCTGTTATGAAAACCAAAAGCAAGTTCCACAGTTAAGATCAGTGTGCCCAAAAAACTTATTTAAGATTCCCTCTGTGAGGCTGATGGATATATGAGCCTGTACTTCTGTCACTTGTTCTCTCTCTGACTTCTCTAGCTAAAAATCACCTGATGTCTGAATTATTTGGGGCTTGCTCTCTGTACTTGTTGGTTATCTACAGGTGTCAGTCCTTAGTTAAGTTCTGCATTAGGTCCTCTGTTAGAAAGATAATGATTTGTTTTCATTAAAAATCAATTTGCTTTAAATATTCACAGGAAAAGAATGAAAATTAAAATATTGCATCTGTGAACAGGCAATAGAAATTAAATGCATAAAATTCACTGGACTATAGACTATAATGTCATATAATTTTGTGTGTTTTTCTTTACCAGTTGTGGTTTTGGTTTGTTTGTCACTAAAGCTTAGTGTACATGACAGTGAAGGTAAGGGCTTCATAAACAAAAAGTTTCTGTTTAAGTTCTTTGGTCGTGCCTCAAGGTTTCTTTTCTTATTTGCGGATATGAAATAGCACTAAAAGAGAAGTATTACTGTAGAGCTTTGCAAAACTTTGCTAGATGAACTTGTACTTCTAACTTTGGTGAGAGAAATATTACTGTAAAGCTTTATGAAACTTTGCTAGATGAACTTGTACTTCTCCTAACTTTGGTGAGAGAGAAGTATTACTGTACAGCTTTGCAAAACGTTGCTAGATGAACTTGTACTTCCCCTAACTTTGGTGACATTCATTTCCTACCACAGAATTGAAACAATTCTGCCTTACCCTGGAATTCCATGGTTGTAAACCTAAAAATCTTTTTAACATTAAGGAGGGAATGTTAATAGCATTGTTTGTTTCAAATGACAAAGTACCATAATGAGTCCAAACCACTAATCCAGCTAGATGACTTGCTGAGTTCTGTACAAATGGGCTTAAACTAGGTGCTTAAATTAATGCATATGCTGGGTTTGGATGGGATGGAGTTAATTTTCTTCCCAGTAGCTGCTGCAGTGCTGTGTTTTGGATACAGTGTGAGAGTAATGGTGGTAACACTCTGATGATTTAGTTGTTGCTGAGCAGTGCTTACCTTAAATCCAGGACTTCCCAGTTCACCACACTCCACCAGCGAGGAGGTGCACAAGAAGCTGGAAGGAAGCATGGCCAGGACAGCTGACCCAAACTGCCCAAAGGTATATTTCACACCACAGAGTATCATGCCCAGGACATAAAAAGGGAGAGTTTATATCCTGATCAGCTAGAAGGCATCATCTGCTGCTTGGGGACTGGACAGGGGGTGGTGAACAATGAATAGCATGTCACTTCTTTGTCTTGGGGTCTATACATCTTTCTCTTTATCCTTCTCATTTTTATTATTATTTTTGTTTACTTTATTTCAGTTACTGAAGTGTTCTTACCTAAACCCATGAGTTTTACTTTTTCTGCTTCTCCTTCTCACCATCCCATGTGTGTGTGTGTGCCTGTGTGTGTACACATATATATTAGTCACTGGCTGGGGTTAAACCATGACAACACAGACAGTTTTCACTGTTGGAAACAGCTGGGTTTTGTTCCCTCCTTTGCTGACCTGTAATTATACCATAAAAGCCTCCTGGAGTTTATTTCAAACCACATAAAACACTAAAAGAGCTTTAATACTTCTGGATAGCACTTTGATAGTTCTGCTTGCAAACCACAGGAGGCATTTCACTTCTTCCAGGTAGTCTTTACTTTGCACAAGCTTTTCCTGTAGCAGAAATCCTTGATAGAGTTGCCTGCAAGTTATACAAAATGCATTTTGCAGACCATAGCCCTAAGATGAAGGCTAGCTATCGCCCCTAGGATCAATCATACCATTTAAGAACTTACATATTTATAAATATATGCAAAAACGTAATGCTTGTCCTGCTTGTGGCAGCTAATGTTTTCCTTAGCAGCTGATACAATGCTGTGTTTTGGATTGAGGATGAGAGGAATGTTGATAAAGCACAGCTTCTCCTGCTGCCCTGCCAGCAAGGAGGCTGATGTGCACAAGGTTTGGGAGCAGGCTTCAGCTGACTCAAGGAATATCCCATATGGAATCCCATATGAACAATAAAACTGGGGGGAGTTGGCAGGGAAGGGCACTGACCACTCCTTGACTGGCTGGGCATCGATCAGTGAGCAAATGTACTGCATGTCACTCACCTTGTATATCCTTTTGGTATTATTTCCCCACCCTTTCCTGTCCTGTTAAACTTTCTTTACCTTTTTTCTGATTTTCTCCCTCATCCCACTGGAGGGAGTGAGTGAACAGCTCCATGCTAGATTAAAGCATAAAAACACTAGATAGCAGCTCATTTAACTCAACACTGCATGTTTTTGTGTAGTCAGTAATGCTGTACAGCAGTGTGTCCACAATCAAACTTCCTTCTTCAGACTGCAGTTCTGATCTATCCATAATGCTTTTTCCAAAAAATACCCACCTACAATCTGCAAGCGTTTCTAAACCTATAGGCACATCTCACAATAAAACTTTCATGCATTACAATGACCCCAACACAGTGGCTGAGCCTGCTCTCAGCCTCCAGCAAAACAGAGCAGAAGAAAACTCCATCTTACAAGGATCTAAGCAAACTGCTGGACTGAGGAACATTGCTGACAAAGTTCTGGATTTCGGTTCTGCAGCTGCAGAACTTCACACGAGAGTCTGGCTGCCAGTGGGTTCAGGGGCAGCTCTAGCATGAGCTGTGAGAGCGGGGATCTGCAGTTGCCAAAAAATGAACCTGTTTGGTAGGAGTCTAAATGTTACCCAGTATAAGAGGCAAACTTTGTGATAGTGTCATGTTCTAACTAAAGTTTGCACAAAGACGATTGAAACAAAGTTCTATCTTGATCCAGCTGCCTACTGGCAGTCTGAGGGTAACAAGTCTGAACAAGACAAAAGCAAAGGCAATTAAAAATACCCCATGGCTCCTTTAATCAAAGGGAGACATCTTGTCTGAAATTTTTACCCATGCAAGAAGCCAGAGTAAAACCAGACTGGGTAAAAATGCCTATAATTCCACTCTAAATCTGCTTCTTTTTTGTGTTTGTAGCAGCACTCTCCTGAGTGCACATTCATATCTGAGTTTCATATCTAAAAGTAGGCTAGATAAAAAAATCAGATCCCTCTAGGGTATAATCTGTGAAGCTCTTGTACTGAAGAATGGGTTTAGTCACTGGCTTTGGTTTAGAAACTTGTTTGTTATGTAATTGATCAATGAGTGGTAAGTGCCACATAATTCCCAGTCGGGAATACTCGTTAACACACCTGGGCACTCTCGTCAATACCTTGTCCCTCGCCTCACAGTTCCGAAAACATCAAAGAGAACAGAGCAAAGCTGTAGAATGATCCACACATCCAAACCTCCCAAGGGCTGTGAGTGGGTGCCCGAATGGGAACGCACTTTGAGGAACAGGAGCCGTACAGGAAAGAAAACATGATGGGCCTCAAATGGGAATTTGAGTTTTGAAAAATTTAAACTGAGCACGGGAGGCTCTCACCATATTTCAGGACGCTGGTTTTGTACAAGCCGGGGCAGTCAGTCGATCACGGTCTCTGAAGGTCTGATCACAGGAAACACACGGCGCACTTCAGCACCGCATCCCTGGGCTTTCCCGGCTCCGGCCTTCGCCCAGCGCCGGAGGCGGCTGCTCGCGGATGAGGCGGGGCGGTTAACCGCCAGAAGGCGTGGAAGAGAGGGAAGGGCTTGGCTGCGCTTGCTTGGCTTTGTTTCCGCTCGCTTCAGTTCGGTTCTTGTCGTGTCGGTGTGCAGCCGGTGCCTCAGTCCACGGCGATGTCGGGCTCGGAGCGGCAGCCGCGGGCGGGTGCGTGTGCGGTGGGGACGCGGTGGGGAAGGGCCGGGCCGCGCTGCTCGGGGCTCCTGCCGGAGGCAGCGCGGAGTGGGAGCGGGACGGGGAATGTCTGCGAGGGGCTACCGGAGGCAGAGGGACGGGGAGTGTCCGTGAGGGGCCGGGGGCAGCGGGGCTGCCGGAGGCAGAGGGACGGGGAATGTCTGCGAGGGGCCGGGGGCAGCGGGGCTGCCCGGCCGGAGCGCCCGAGCTTCCCCCAGAGGGGGAGGGCTGCCCGAAGGGCCGCTGCCGGCGCTCACGGAGCTTTGCTTCTGTCCTTCTTTCTGTGAAAAACACGTTCACTCTCCGTGAAATTAAAAAAAAAAAATTAATAATAAAGGGCAATAGGAAACAAGGACCATAGAGCAAAGATTATTACAGCCGGGTGCATCCTGGCCCTCAGGCAAGACCACACTTACCTTTGGGGATGCTCCCTACATCAGCCATCACATCTGTTGCATTAGCCTGTAGCGGATTCAATGCAATTACGGAATTCAATTCAGTTATGCATGGTAAACTTTCCTTTATGCATAGTAAAGTTTCCTTTTTAGTTTACATATTCCAAGAGCTATTAAATTTGGGTCTGCCTTTTTTTAACACCTGCAGTTTTTGAGCTTTGGTCCCCACTGCCTTCAGATGGTGAATGCCGATTGTTGGCATGTAGCGGGTGTCTTCTTCATATGTTCATTGGATGTTATCCCATCCAAGCGGGCATTTTACACAAGCATACTTATAGCAGCTATTTCACTAAGTTTAATTAACAACAGAAATAAAAACTATATAACAAAGATACTTTAACACTACATATCTAAAATCCATTTTAATATTTGTGAAAAGCCAATATTATAATGTGTGTCTATAACATTTCCTTCCTTCCGGAGGAGGAAAGGAACGTTCGAGAAGGTGGGAGGTGAAGGATGGCCAACAAGGAAATGGATTTGCAGTAAATCCCGCAGGGGAAAACCCCTCTGGCTTCCCGGCACAGCCTCGGGGAAAGTGGGGAAGGTTCCCTGCGTGTCACTGGAGGGCAGGAGAAGTCAGAGCAGTAAAACTTGGCCTGGGTCCCCGGAGATGCAGCCAGGCTTAAAGGGAATTATTTTGTGTGCCGTCTGGCTGTTTCTAAGGGCCTTGCCCTTTGTGGTCTTGATGGTAGATCTGTTGAGATGGAAATGCATCCAGGGATAGACTCTGTGAGATTCCAGTGTAACCTAGTTCATACCTGATTTTTGATTCCTTTGAAGCAATCCATCTTCACGAAATTAGGGATAAGTAGTCCCATTAGTCTCAATCAGACTTTAGAACAAACTTGTTCCAATGTAAGACAAACAGAAAACTTTTCATAAATCATGATAATTCAAATAGTGTTTATGTGAATGAAGCTGCGATACGAGAGGGACAATGAAAAACCTAAGACTAGTAAGTTACTAAACAGGATTAACTTAACAGGAAATTTTTTTCCCAGTTTCCTGTAGCCCAGGAATTCTAGTCCTCCTGTGTCTACGTTTTCTGTCTTAAAGTTTGATGATTATAAAATTTTATTATCTGTTTCATGGTGGGGGGGGGGTGGATCGCAGGAGCTTTTGTCCTCTATCAAGATACAGCTATGTTA